CTAATTAGTGGAACTAGAGACATTTCCGAGATGAGAGCAGTTACAGATTACGACGGCAGAAATCGTCTCGGCCATTTTTAGTTTGAAGCCATGGGCCCGGACTAGGTGCCAAGAGCAAGTCCCTCCTCGAGTGAGGAAGGGGGTCCCCCAGTAGAGCACCCACGAAATTTTCCTGACTAAAAAGTAGCGGCGAGGACGTTAAGGACCGTGCCTTGTCCGTTGCCAGCGCTGCCATGCTAACCAATCACGGCATGTCTGTTTGCGCCCTCTCGCGTACGACGTGCTCTCTCGCGTTTTCCCTCTCCTCGCAGCGCTGTGTCTCTCCGTCATACCACGGCCGCCTCCTAAGGGAATTTCAGTGTTTTCTATGGTGCTTTTTGCTTTTTCTCCTCACTAATGTTCCTCTTCGCACTTCTTGTCTAATTTCGAACAAAATAACGCACCGATTGGATTCCGACCCGTGCCTTTAAGGCAGCCATGGTTGATGCGTCTGCAGATTCAATAGTTCTTTTCGGTTCCCCTAATGAAGCGCTTAAACAAGCGGCTGATCGGCTGCGGTTCAGCCTAGTGGCTTCTCCACTGCCACTGGTTTCTAGATATATTAGCGCCAAGATAGTTGGGGGGGGGGAGAGCTGGTTGCCGCCGCGGCGCGCAGCATGTCTACGTCCTCTCAGTGAAATAGTGTATACTGTCAAACTCCAGCTTTTCACTCATGTCAAGCGTCGCTCCCTCCCACTGGAATTCCCTGGCTCAGGGATTCCTTGCTTCACACTGGAGGGCGCGAACATGGCCCTGCTTCCCCCATTACCTTAGCACCTAGCGCTTTTTATCTAAAAAATTGCTGGCAAAATTCATGAGGACATTCTAGTGATGAACCATGCTAGAGCATCCTTTTTGTCAATGACATAACGAACAGTAAGCAATCAAATCAACCACAAACCTTTGTTTATTATCGCTAGGGCTGGTGACCCATTCCTTCTTATCATATGAATATTGCTGCTTCTCCTCCTAGAATAAAATACTGTTATTCGAAGGCAAGAGTAAATAGCTTATACCATAGACTCAAGATCAATATCACATGGGTATGAGCAGAGCTTCACTGATAGGACACTCAGAGGTTTTCGCCTCCTTCTGGTAGTGAGAAAAGGTAGTATTTTAAAATTTCGGATGGGACCATAATGATGATATACATGAACATAAGAGATTGTGATGTAGTGGATGGCATGATGCGGGAGGGAGGGGGGAGGGGGAAGAGAAAGGAAGGGGTCGTCTTTGTCGGAATCTGAACAATTTCCAAAAAAAAAATGTGGCAATCGGAGTCGGTCATATCCCCTTCCCCCTCCCTCCTCTCGGACACAATAGGACGGCAATGATTCCAGAAAAATTTAGGGCGGTGTTGAAGAGCGCCACTTGACCTCAGCTCTCTTTGGTTTCCTTTCCGAATCAAATTTGGAAAAATCATGGCGAGTGGGTGGCGAGGGGTCTCCTCCGAGACTGGAGGTTATGGGGGTGGGGGCAGCGTCTAATTGCATTACGATGATTCTTATTCTCTACACAGCGAGCTGATCACAGGGGTTTATAATGACCTCAGACGCACTATAAAAACTTCAATACAATTTCTACAACAGTCCATTTGTGCGCTCTGGCAATCACAAATGAAAACCGAGTTGTTGACGATAAAGGGGTAATGAAAAAAGGAGAAATAATCAAATGGTCTCGAAGTAAGATTATAGTTGCTTTTGAGGGGGCATGAGAGAATGGCGTAGCCCAAACAATTCTCCAGATGACTTCTCACTTTATAACATGAATCATCTCCAGGAGTATAAATATTATAATCACTTCATTATATTAACCACGAACTATGGTGTATCGGTTTGTCGGTGTGTGTGTCGTTCTGTCCATCCGGACCAACCGCTAGCAAAACCGGGGAGTTCAAAGGTTCACACCTCGTGATGTTGACTTCATGATCATGATTAACACCACAGCGGGTATATAAACACCTATCGAACACATACTCAGCCTCATTCTACATGGTGCTGCCGTAAGCAGCCGGAGGGGAAGGTAGAAGGGGGAGGGGTAGGAGAGGAGAGAAGGGCAGGCAGGGAAAGAAAGGGATGGGCAGGGGGAAGGAGGCAAAGGCGGCAGAAAGCACCACAGATTGTGGTTCTATCGCTGTGTTGAGAATCTGTTGCAACCGTGATTGTCTCCAACGGCTATACAATAAAAAATGGGGGGGGGCCGGGGGCGGGCCAACAAAAGTATAACACACCTACTATAGTTCGCTTTCAGTCATTTTCACAAGGAGTGCTGGAGCGGGCAGCTAGAGCGTGGGGGGGGGGGGGGAGAGGAGGGGTAACGACACAGGTGGAAGGATCGTCAAAGCTTCGCGAGCGAAAGGGAGGGTCCGGCGGTTGCCGGAGGACCAATCTGCTATGAAAAATATTCTATACAATGACAGGTGGTACCGTGCAGAACTTGTGCAGCTTTCCCCCCTTTAATGATTCTTATGATCCGCGATTAGTCTCCCAATAGAATAAAGGAAAAATTTTCTCCCCGTGAATATTTTTGAAACACCTTTGAACTTCCTCCAAATTACCGTCTTAATCCCCTGCGCCCCCCCCCCCCTTTTCACCCCTCTTTTATCATCAGACCAAGCTTTGAAGACTGAATTCATTGAAACTACTCACGTCAACAATATCTCCAACAAGATATTGCTCCCTCATCTCACGAGCATCTGTAGAATGACCGACGTCCTCAAAGGCTTCAGTGGCATCACGACCAGCAACTTCCAAGAGCACTTCACAACCACCAGGATGCTGAAATTGACCAGTTGAACCATACGAAAAGTTTTATTGGAAAAACACTTCAGGATGGTCAAGAATTACCCAAATTGAAACACATTTTTACAATTCTCCCATATAAACTCTACTGTTCTCAATATTATAGTCGCTTCAGTTCCTAAGGTTCTTCAAGTTGTGTAAAGGCACAACTCAAGCAGAAGTCAAGTGAACGATCCCCTTTGGTCTGCAGATTGATCCCTACAGGGAAATCACAAATGTGGCACTCTCGTGCATGGAAATCGTCTCGACAAGGGCGATAAGGCTCTGCAAAGTAATCTGCAGCAGTTGCAATGCTCCCTTCTGCAGCAGGATATTATTTGTAGCCCCTCTTATCTGCCGTATTCTCTCGCCTCATACTCTCCCCTACACGCCAAGTCTCTCACCGCCTTAGCACAGCCACATTGCGAAGGTGATCAAGCACTTAAAGACAAAGTTCAAGGATTTTTGGCGAAATTTAGGTTTTCTCCGCCAAATATGCAGCAGTCGCAAGGGTATACCATGTGCAGAAATAGCGCGGAATCTGGTGGCGGAGGTTTAGGCGCTAAGAGCCTAGGTTGGAGCATTGGCGCCGCCCCAACCCCATTGAGCCCGCCCACTTCCATGCGACCTTCCAAACAACCACATGGAACACTAGATGTTAAGTTGTTATTTGGAAGGTCGTAGAGGAATATTTAGCGGATTTCAACTGCGAAAACCAACATCAAAGCCTATGTTAAGACCATTATCGAGAACCTAGTCTTTCATTCTAGTGATAGTCTAATTTTTGAGATAGGAAAAAACAAAAGCGCACCACAGGAAAGGGAAAAATAGATCGGCAATAGGAAGAACAAAAGGAAAGGGAAAAATAGAATAGGAAATAGGAAATAGAAAAAATAGCGAAAATTAGAAGCAATCAGTTTTCATTGCTGACTTTTTGTAGCCGTGTCGGTTGCTGGCATAAAGCCAACAGTTGTTGTAGACACGTCCAGACACGTAATTCTCCCAGCCCTGGCTTCTAAGCGACTAACGAAGAGAAATTTCTTATTTTGGACTTTTTTGAGAGTACTTCCTGCTTTTTTCTTCAGCTTTGGCTTGATTCACTTAGCACCCAGTACTTCATAGTGTACAGGTAATAAC